TCCCAGAAAAATAAATTTAGCTCATCTTAAATATTGAAAACATAGTCCAAAAAAGTTTAACCATCAATTACAATACAAGAAAAACTAAAAAGAAACAAAGAAGAAAAGAAAACTAAAGATTTCAAAGTCTTTCCTGCCTTATTGTATACTTGATGGCTACTTTTTTTCTAAGAAACCCTAGTTTAAACGTGCCTTTTAATTGCTCTAAAGGTGCCTTTAAACAGTCTCCAAAAAACCTAATTCAAATCAACTTTGGAAAAGAGTCTAAAAGAGATATCATGCCGACGTTGTAGCCTCCACTTTCTAGTCCCGAAGTGCCTTGCTTTCTACCCTATGTATGGTTGCATCACTTCTTGGCACTGCAACCTTCACTCTCCCATGGCTACAAGGCCCAACTCTTTGATGCCTTGCTTTTTCACCTCTCCTTATGCCACAACAGCACCTATTCTTCCAAAGCTACGACGCCATGCTTGTTGATTGTTTTGGCTTTCTTTGCTTTTCTTCACGATACAAAACTCTGTTTCATTGGCACCTAAAAAAAATTCAAACTAAGTTATTCACATAAGAAATTGAACTTAATTAACATAAAACTTAACAAAAATCACTAAAATTAAACTACTTAAAATAATTAAAACTAAACTTTAAGAAACAAACTAAAAACGAAAATGCTTAATTAAATCCAAAGGATTTAGCCAATTCCAATGCTTAAAATATGATAAAATAACTCTATGAAATAGAGTTATCAAACTGTGGGAAATAAATGGGTTAAAATTCAACCCTTATTGTCTAATGGCATTAGACAAAATTTTAACTTGAGTTTTAATATGATTTACAGTATACTTGTGTATACTGAGCTACATCTTTGAAGCAAAACTCTTCTATTAGTTAGCTTGTTTCCTTTTGCACCTACTCAATGAGTCTACGATACTTACCTCAATTAATTATTGCCTTGTGCAGATAAGTACATTGTGGGGAATGAGTAGCTAGCAACTATTTTGTAGATTGACTTAGTATCTGGTAGGCACTCTAGATCTAACAAGTCCACTCTGCTAGTCATAGTTCAGTCTCCAATTTAGTTGGCAATTGTGTTGCTAGTTTATTTTGTACGGTTTGTTGTGTAAGGGTTTAAACCTAGTATGTTAGCCATGAGATAGGATATATGTATATAGTACTTGATAGTACTCCCATTTTGTTTATACACAAATAGGTTAAGTACGTTATAAGGTGCAAGTATGTAATGAAGTTTCAAACTTATATAT